CTAGTACACCTATACCTGTCTTTTCTATAGGTTCATTTCTCTTTTTTTGACTGCCTGAAATGTTGGAGTTCCTCAAGATTCAGTACAAACACTTTATGTCTCTTCCTGTAATCTGACTTCTCTCCCTTCACTAGTTCAACTTCAACCATTGTTGAAAAAGTAAAGAAAGAGAATTATCCACAGCAAGTCCAGCTCTGACACTTGAGACTTAAGAACTTGTTGATCTGTCAAATGTTTCAAGGATTCTGGGTAGACCCTCTGGAAAGGTTCAATAAATGCATCATGTAGAGTCCTGGAGAATTAGTGTAAAGCCACATTCACTTCTACTGATAAATATTTTGCTTTTGAGAAACAAAACCAAGATTGCTAATGGACTCTGGAAAAGACTAGATGTATAATCAAGGGACACTGATTGTCACCTAATTGCCTATCAGTCTATGAGATGGCACTATCTTATCCAACAACCCATAAAGTTGAGTGAGAGAAAAAGCAATTCTTTATCAACTTGTAATATATATATATATATATATATATATATATATATATATATATATATATATGATTAAACTCTAGTAGATATAGAATCACAAATAATTTGTAAGTGAATGATATGATGGCTCTCACAACACCTACTCCGGCTTCATTGTTTCCTCTTCTGTAAGATATCTACCTCAAAGGCCTATAAGAATTGCCCAAGACTAGATGGTGAAGAAGAAAAAAATCTTTGCCTTGAATTATAGATGGGATTGCATGAAATGTTGGCACCAGCTAAAATGAAACTATATTAAGTCCAAGTGATCAGAACTTGGGGCAGTGTATCTGAATGTATACTTTATGTGAAAATAGCCATGTCCAGATATGTGACTCTATTGTGACTCATGAGATGTGGTTGATGGTTTCTCCATTGTTCAGAGACTTACAAAGGTCTGGGAAGTACATAGAGAGAAACATCTCAGACTGGACACAGGAGGTCATCCGTTTCAAGAAAGGTTCTCAATATTTACATACACACCAAAAAAATTTTTTATGGATTTCTGTCAACCTCTTTCCTCAGCTAACCCAGAGATTACTCAATTGGCCTGTGTATAAATTTGAAATGATGCAAGCAAAGGAAGCTAAGCATAGTTTTGATGACAAGGACTCCTTTTTCATTAGGTTAATCTACCTACTTTTAGAACTAGTGTCCTGACTGGCAAAACTAAAGGCCAGTATGGAGCCCCTCCTATCCATTATTCCTTGGGGAGGCAAGTTAGCTTTTTGGGGAAGGTTTATAACATTGAGCCCTTTCTAGCTACCTTTCTATTCTGTAATAGAATTTATTCTGCATACAGATTAGCCTTCCCCTTCCGCAATGCCTCAGGACTATTTTCTGTGGACATATGGGATGGTTGTTGACCATCAAGACACCCCACACAGTACTCTCCCCCCCCAAAAAAAAACTCATTAGAGCATAAGAAAAAAATGTGACCATGAATTCCATGTTCATAAAAGGCATTAATTTTTCCATGAATCACAATGACTAGGAGAGCACTGCATTATAAACTATTTGGATGACCTACAGAAAAATAAGTTATCTTACTAGCTTGAAGACAACATTCTATTGGGTTTGAAGTATTGTATACAAGGCAACATGTGCTTTATATATCTGATGTACATTTTTCCTAAAGCCCAAACTAAGAAGTGAAAATAGTATGAATCTCTCACTATCTAATAACCTGCTCAAGTTTTCCTTCTTATCTTCAAAACCTTGGGCTAAGGCTTCGGGCTGGGCTTGGGGCTCAGTAGTACAGCACTTGCCTAGCATGTGTGAGACACTGGGTTCCATCATCAGCACCACATAAAAAAAAGGTATTATGTCCACCTACAACTAAAAAATAAATATATTTTTTTTAATTTTAAAAAAACACTTTGGACTTAGCTGATTTTGTGATCTCTACTTCCAAAAGTGCCCACCAGAGGGGGCTTCACATGGTGAATTCTTGCCATGATGTTACTGAACTGGCAGTTAAGAGTATTAATTCCTAGTCTGAGGTGAATAACCTCAAATATCAAGGGAAATAGGATTGTTGCTACATCAGGGAGGCAATAAAGGCATATTTGGGATTAATAGAATTCTCTGGGGTAATTCTTAATATTGCTACATTTGATAGTTATCATCTTGGAAAATTATAACCACCCAGCAAAGACAGTATCACTAAGTCCTAATAACCTGTAAAAACAGAAATTTAGTTCTTCTAATCAGGTAGTGGTTGAAAGCGAAGATAATATGAACTGGGTCACGGGAGAATTGTGTGATTAAAATGAATGCCCACCGTGACCTTTAGACCCATTACAGAAATGAAGACTGTGTCTGTTATGGATACTCTTAGGTATATATTAACCAATTATTTTAATTTTATTTATAGGTCATTAGATCCCAAGAAGTTTCTTTTAGACCAAGTGAAAAGAACAGAACATTAGCCATAGTTCATGGACTCAAGATAAGATAGGCATCATGGCTGGAAGGACTTAAAACCCCTGTGGAAAGAAGTGGAGTGTGTTGCCTTCTGTAAAGTGAAAGCCTTAATTTGTATGAAATGTAAAAACTCATATAGCGTGCACGCTGAGTCAAATAAGAATCAGTGGTGCCAATCCTACTTGACTCTATTTGCTTCCAGATACATTTTTATCCTTGTCCTGATCTGCTCGGTTTTGCAGTGGGGTGGGATGAGGAACAAGAGTGGGGGGGCTTTGAGGACCCTACAGGCTACATTTCCTTTTCTCTAACATCCACAGAAATTGGAGGTCAGAATTCAGGGTATGTCTACCTCCCAGTCTGCTTCAAGTGGTACTTTGGGCAATAGCACCCTCCTTTCTGCAGCTCCAGCTTCTACGGGACTAGTTTACCATGCTGGCTACAGTTTCTTCCAAGTGATCCTACCATTGGGTGTCTAGTAACACCACTTCCTCTTTTAATTACTCAAACCTAGAAATATTACTGACTTCAAATATTGAGGTTTATTCAACATCCCCAGTTGGGATTCTTAACCCTTTTATTGCTTAGTTCACCAGTTTATGCATTAAATAATTTATGCCATAAATACTTAAAAGTTGTTCTGTTTTTCTAGTCAGACTCTCACTGTTCTCATAACACAGACTGCTCACTGTTCTCATAAAAATGTACATGTCATCAACTCATTCATTAACAGTTGCCTTTGCAAATTTTTTCTTTGATGAAAGCATCCATAATATTTATTCCTGTAATTCAGGATTTCTCAGCCAAATAATAAATGTCTTGTTGTAGGAGACTGTCTTGTGCATTGTGCTATAGTTAGTGGAAACCCTGGCTTCCACTTAGTAGAAGGTGGGAGCACCTCATTCCCAGATTGTGATAACTGAGAATATCCCCTGAAATTGCCAAGTGCCCCCCTGTGAGTAGGAATAAGATGCAATTGCCCCTAGTTGAGAACCTCTGCTCTAATTGAAAACCTGATTTTTTAAAAAAACACAGTTATTTCTTTTTCTTCTTTTAAGCAAGGATTTACATTTGAACTAATCCTTGCCTGTTATTAGATGTGGTTATTAGAGTCTAGTTAAATACAGATGGCTGCAGACAGTCATATATATGATAATTTTATTTTTTCGTTCTATACCTTCAATCACTTGTCAATACAAAAAGTCCATCCTATATGAATGAAATACTGCATACAACATCATAAAGATGTTTCAAAAGCATTCCAACCCATATGATGCCATTGTATATGAACATCTTGCCACATCCCTTCATTAAACCCACATTTACTGTACATTTATAGAGCACTAGGCTCCTTGAGAAACACATGGACCAACTCAAAAAGGAGAAAGCCAATAGCGGTGTTCCCATTCCATCATAACTGTATATAAACATCCATAGCCACACAGGAAGAAGTGTGCTTCTCAGGGAATGAGAAGAGTTGCTTTGCTCACGTCCCTCATTAATCAGTGAAGGCTCTCTCTTAAAAGATATGTCATTATAGGCTTTGGGCCATATCTCAAGAAATTATGATGGACTTTGATCCCATTTTGAACCATAGAATGACAAGAAACCCATCAATGCCAAAGGGAATTTGGAACCATGGGATCATGTCATAAGAAAACTACCTAAATGTAGCCATAGGGGTCAAGATATCTGACTCCCTTTACTTTCATTTCCTACTCAAAACAGGGTTTTTATTTTCAATTTCTTTACTTTATGGAGTGAATGGGAAGCTCTGAATCATTGAAATCAGTTACTTTTTCTCTACTTAACATACAGTTGTCTTTTCTTAGTTATCATTTTTGTGACCTTGAAATTTATAAACTGTCTTATGTTCCCAAAAAATAAACGTTTATTCTTGTTCAAATATCTCCTCTAGAATTATGTTCTAGAAATTTGACATCTTCTCCAGGCTTGCCCTGAATGTTCAGGGGATTCCTTTCAATTCTAAAAAGCATAAATCTTTGATATAGTGCCTAGTCTCTCTGTGTATTTATCCTTGCTTTTTGTTTTACATATACTTATCCATAGTGGACAAATATTCCATAGTGTGCTACTGACTAGATTATCTGCCATTCGTGTGCCTGCCTGAGGATAAAGTGAAAATAATGATATAGTGAAAAATGATGAATGGCATGGTAAAGATGGAGCTATGGCCATGAAGATGCTTAAAAAAATAGTAAAATTTTCATCAGTGTTACTATAGCACGTGAGTGTGTATTTGATGGTATTTGAATAAGTAACTATTCATTGAGACTAGAAAGACATTAGCAGTAGAAGACAGGTTTACTTGCCTGTGAGAAACTGACTAAAGAAGTTCTTTTAAGGGATGATTAATTTTCCTTCCGATAAGTTTCAATCCTGAAAGGGTGCAGGGCAGCCACAGGGTAGTACACATTAAATATCCCCTCTACCCCAAAGAAAATGAAAGAAGTTCAATTAAAGCAAGTGCATATAAAATCCTGTCTCCTGTGTTGGCCTCACCTAATTCTAGCTCTGGATCTCCCTATGCCTGCTCCTTCCCCATAAGCTTCCTAACTGCTTTCTTCACATCCTTGTTCCTCAGTGTGTAGATCAGCGGGTTGAGAGTGGGAGCAAGAATCATGTAGAGCACTGCAAGTGCTTTGCCCTGGTCCTGAGAGTAGTTGTCCTTTGGTTGTAGATACAAAAACATAGTGGTTCCATAGAAGAGTGAGACCACCATTAGGTGGGAAGCACAAGTCCCAAAAGCCTTTTTCCTTCCCTCTGCTGAGCGCATTTTCACGACTGCCCTGGCAATACACACATAAGAGGTCAAGATGATGGAGACAGGCACAGCTAGAATGATTAGCCGGGCAATAAACATTTTGGACTCTGCTGGGCCAGTATCCACACAGGAGAGTTTAACAATGATCAGCAGCTCACAGAAGAAATGGTCCACACGCCGGTTTCCACAGCGAGGTAGCACAATGGCCATTGAGGACTGTAGAAAGGAGTTGGCAAAGCCAGAGGACCAGGAAGCTGCTGCCAGGAGGTGACACAATTTGGGGTGCATAATGGTGGTGTAGCGGAGAGGCCAACAAACTGCAACATAGCGATCAACCGCCATCACGGCAAGGAGTACGCACTCAGTGGAGCCAAGTGCCAAGGCCACCCAGTACTGGACCATGCAGCCAGCATAACTGATCTTCTTGTTGCCTCCCCACATGTTCACCAGCATCTGGGGCACAATGCTAGTGGTAAAAGAGAGGTCGAGCACAGAAATGTTTCTGAGAAAGAAGTACATGGGTGTATGGAGCCGAGCATCCAGAATCGAGAGTGAGATGATGGCCACATTACCCACAAGGTTTATGCTGTAGAATATCAGGACAAAAAGGGAGAGGATCAGCTCCAACTCAGGATACTCAGAGAAGCCCACTAAGATGAAATCCCCACCTGAGCTGTCATTGATTGCTTCCATTTCCTCTTCAAAGCTATCATTGAGGGTGTTCTCATGCCATCTAGTGTGGGATTTAAGAGTAATAGGTGGGTAATTAATATATGTATTGGATATTGGAAAAGCAGAGACTCTGGACAGGACCCAAATTATATTTTATTTTTATTTCCTCTTGTCTTTTCCAACTCGTTTCACACTTGCTGGTGTGAACTCCAGCAAACTCATGGCCTCCATGGTAATAACAGTATAACAACCATTTTCAGTTATAGACAGAATCTAAATTCACTAATTTTAAATCCCAGTCTCATGAATACTAAAAACTCAGAATCTAATTCAACATCTAGTCTTGACCTTTTTCCAGCTACAGCCCCTTTCAAGTGAACTCTTATGTTTTGGGGAGGGGGTGTAGGCAGTTCCTTTCTTTTCCTGCTCTTCTCTACCAGTGTGTCAGCAGTGCCTCTAGGTTTTCCCTATTTGGGTTATGCAAAGGGGAAGAGAAGGGATTGCCAGAAAGTCTTACGCTCCCAAGACAATGTTATGCTCTCGGAGCCTGACAGGTGTTTAACAATTAACTCTTCTCATGGGGAATATGTGTATTCTTTAGACACTACTTTGCTAGGCCAGTAGACCTGCCTATCCCCAGAATAGGTGGAGGCATCTCTTTCTGAGGCACCTTTTGTAAACTCTGGGGCTCAGGATCTTATCCACAACGCTTGGTCCCTTTGTTCCTGTTGTGGCCTTACAGAATAAGACTCAGGACAACCGCTCAACACAAGCTGTCCCTTCATAGTGACCCTCTTCTGCCACACAGGAAACCATTTTACATCTTTTGGTTCAAACTCATTGCAAGAAGCCACGACCAGCTTGACTCCACCATGGTAGCAGTTGTTAGCACTTTTCTCATCCCTAGACTTTCTGTGTAAGAATTGAGCCTGGTTCATTCTGCCCCCTCCCAACTATTTTATATATATATATATATAAATTTTTTTAAGTCTCCAGCTAACTCTGTTGAAGTCCCCAACCTGGAGGCTTTTTCCTGTTGGTGGGGATAGTTTTATACTCATATCAATACTTACTCTAAATGAATTTTTATATTTTTCTTCTCCTCTCCCTTCTCTTAATCCAGTTTAATTTTTCAAATTGGCAAAGCTCTCTGAGTTGTCCAAGAACTAATATTTATTAAAATCATTTTTGTATAAGTTCTACATATGATTGTTCTTTCACATTCACTTACAACATAAGGTTGTACAAAGCAGAAAAGGGATGCATTTTAAAATACAATTCTTATGTATCAGTCACAGCAAAGGAGGGAGACACTCAATAACAACATTTTTAGGGTAGTTTCTGTGCATGTCTCTAAGTAGAAATAAGTCATAGTAAGGTAGAAGATTTCAAATAAATGAGCAAAAGGTTAAAGGAATTTAGATTTATTTTCAATGGGATTCGCAAATAAAGACACCAGGAAGGAAATCAAAAAGTCAGTAATAAATTCACTCTATTTAAATAGAAGTTGAATAAGAAACCAGGCAGCAAGGCAAAAAATTACTTCTGTACTTTTCATTAATATTCTCTCCTTGACTCTTTATGTGTTTTCCCTCTGCTGTTAAACAGCAATTCTCTATAGTACTGCTTTCAAGATAGTCATTGCCTTCAAGAAGCTTTAAGATATCCAACTTTCTCCAAATTTTATTTAATCTCCAACTAATCATGTTGAGTTTAAGAAAGAGTATGTCAGACCTGGAGATGTATGATCATGGTAAAGTAGTTGTCTAACTTGAATGAGGCCCTGGGTTTAAGCCCCAACATGGAGCAGGGAGGAATCTTCTCATGGTACTCTAAAAACTATCCCTTTTTTAAAAAACAGCATCTTATCTCTTCACAGTACATAGCTTATTAGATACACTTTTTCCAGGTCTTCAGAATGAGCATATTTGAGATAGTAAGAGTGAGGTACTGGTATATATTCAGCCTTTCAGTGTTCTCCTTTATGATTGGTCTGTTTCATTAGAATGAATGGTTAAACAAATTTGGCATACTAGATAGTTTTTTTCCATCCTATAAAATTAAATAATTTTGTATTAATCCATACCTAAATTTTAAAATCACAAATAAATTTAAAGGAAGGGGAAAAATAAATAAATGGAAGGGAAACTGATCAGGTGTAGTTCGCCGTTTCACATAAGCAAAAGAGGCCCACGTGATATAAAGGAAGAATCCATTTATAAGTATGGGTTTTCATACATGCTGGGTTGGAGCTCAGAGATACAACATGGGGAAGAAGGAGGCAGAGAAACCTGAGATGGCATTTAATTTGTTCATTATTAAATATATGTTCAGCAATTGCCAAATGCGTAGCAAGTAACATGTGTGTATTCAGTTAACATCTCTCCAAAGATCCAAAGTATGTGAACTCTGAATCAAATCTGGAATCACCAACTTTGGTTTGAATCACATAAAATTTTTTAAATTGGAAATTTTTAAGAGAAAAGCTCTAATATCTCAATTAAAAAGCCAGTGTTCACCCATGACACAAAATTCACTTCCAGTGAATTTAAAATATTTATGGAGACAGAAATGTTAACTACCTTGATTTTATCATTACATTACTATATAGATCTATCAAATTTTCACATCAAACTCCATAAGTTTGTACCACTGAAATAATAATTAATTTTTAGAATAAAGTAAGCAGACATTCCTCTCCAATTTCCTGTCCTCACAGTATTTATCCCCTTACCCACCCACCTCACATATCCATAAGTCCATCTTACCTATTTTCTACCAAAAGTAGAGATTGATCCCCATCTGTCTGCTAACTGAACTGAGTCTTGTTATCATGAAATTTTGTGGCTTCATCAGTTCCAGCCAGGTCCATGAAGATTCTGCAGATTTCTATGCCTTGAGTTGCAAACTATTTCGAGTTTTTCCTGCAAGTGAGCTTAGTATACATCTGAACAATGTGGACTGGCAAAGACAGTATGATCCCATAAATCTGTAGAAAAAGAAAATTCAGTTCTTTATTTTCTTTCACAACTTATAAGTTCTTAAATATTATAAGAGTCCATTGTAATAAAATTCCCTGATAGTTGCTTTTTATGTAATGATAATTGAATATGAACTTCACAAAGACACTAGAAGCTAGTTAGATATTAACAGTCTCACTTTGTAACTGATTAATTAGCATTCATTAGGTCACACAGTATATAAGAAGTGGTAAAAAAACCCAGGGCAACTAATTATAATTCTTCTGCACTTTTAGACATTAAAGAAACTTCATATCTCCATTGGAAAAATGAAATAAAAGTGGCAATGATGAAGAAAAAGGAATTAATTGGAATAAAAAGAGTTAGTTCATCAGGGAGTTGAGAAGTTTGCTAAATAAGATAAAGCAAAGATTCCATGATGATATTAAACTTACTATAATTGATAAATAGAAAAGTTTTTTGAATCATTCTTATTCGGATTAACTAATTTAGTAAGAGAATCTTGATAATGCCATCATAGGCAGTCCAAAGTATTAAACATGAAATCTGTTTAAATCCTAGCTTCTGTTTAAATCACTTACTACATGTGTCAACTTAGGAAACTCTTTAACATTTCTGGGTCTTAGTTCAGTCACCTGTAATATTAGAATAACAATATCATAAAATTATTTTTATGAATTATCTTTAAATTTATACAAAAGTAAATTTAAACTGTTATTCACTAGGTTAGCAGCAGTAGTAGTAGCATAAGAGTAACTTTTTTCAAGTGCACACTACACTCTTAGCAAAGTAGAGAGTGCTTTGCCTGAATTGCTCCACTTTATATTCAACTGTAATCTGTGGGTACTTCTCTACATTGTCCCATTTTTATGTTCATATATAACTTTATTAACATTAAAGCCTCCCTTTACAGAGTACAAAAATGAAGCTTATAGTGACTTAGACCTAAAGTTAATGTCACATGCCCAGAGTCTGATAGAACTAAGACTTTAATTCAGAACTCACTGGTTCCAAAGTTTTAATCATTACCCTGCCATACAATACTGACTACACTATTTTAAGTGGCTATGCATATAATCCCTTTGTGGTGGATTTCTTCCAGTACCTGGAACATAACAGTCATTCAGTAGGTGTCAGCTGAGTAAAGGGAAGAGGTGGAACTGTCAGAGTATAAAGCATTCAACAACAACAACAAAAAGCCTCTCAATCCCAATTGTTTAGGATTATAGAAAGAGGGGGAAAATGATCAGGTGCTCCTCCCTAGGGTCATCTATATATACTGACCTGTCTTTTTAATAATTAAAAATCATCTTAAGAAAGCACTAGTGATCCAATTTTATACTGATGTAGGATCTGAGGTGGGCATCATAATGAGAAGTATATCTTGGCTTTTGAGACCTGCCCAGCTAAAATATAGCATCCAGAGAGATTGAAAACCAAGGAAAATACTTACCTTTACAACATTTGTCAGTCTAACATGCTAAAAGCCACTTTCTTGTCATGTCCTTTATCATTCATTTAAAGTCCTAGTATAAGGTGAGAGAGATGAATTCTTGGGGAAAAGAGGTCATGATAGGACTCTGCAAGACACCAGAGTTTCATTGACCTATTAGAAGTAAAATCACTGTCAAAGCAGCCAAGACACAAAGATGTGTTTTCTCCTGGCCAACCCTGTTTATGGAGCCAAAGAGTGTGTAGAACTTATTTACCAAAATACAAAGTTAGGGCCAAGAAAACAAATTGGGATTTGCAAAACTGCCAGTGTCTTCCTTTGCTTCCTCTTTATATTGCTCTTTCTTCTTCAGCCTAAAAACTATTTTGCTGGGTCCCAATTTCAGAAATGCTGTTGAGCACCCAAATCATACCTTTATCAGTTTCTCTCCTTTTCCCTCAGGGGGACAAAAAAATGCTATCCTGAATTGGTAATGGATCACAGGATAATATATGTCTAGTTAACCAAGCATTTCTATTTCATCTAAGTTGATTTCGGGCACCTCACAGGTAAAAGCCTGTCTGCTGTACCCAAAGACCCAGGAGACA